TGTACTTTTATTACGTAAACAGAACCAGTTCATCTTCTTTAGTTTGGGAAATACCTTAGACTGTATAGTTACCATTGGGTGAATCGGTATTATCAATTTACTCTGATAATGTTTTACAATAACATTAATAGTAACATCACCAAAAACTATACTGCTCAAAGAAAATAATGCTCTAATTAATTCCTCTGTAAGTGAACATTAAATTGAAAATGCATTTTGGTTTACCTTTGTTGAAAGTCAGTAAGAACATCATTTTGCCTTGGAGTCATCTTTTGGAATAACAATAACTCTAGTGATAGTTTGTAGAGGATGTAAGGAAGTTGGTTTCATATTGTACAAGTGTACACTAGCATGGATTTCATAAACCTATTGGAAATTACTCTTTTTAAATATATCTCATGTATTAATGTGCTTTCTTGTAGATGCCTTTTAGAAAAAGCTGAATATATAAATAAAATATGTGATGTTTTAATATTTCTATTACATGCATTAGAAAGTTGGAGCTTTGGTTAATTAATACATTGTACAGTATTAAGCCTCTACTGTGAAGGTGGTAACCATGCTTACAAGAAATCAAATAGAAATTGGGAAGATAGTAGTGTAACTAATTTGTATGAATTCATTATATTTGGAATGTATACAAATTGGCTTTAACACACTGGGTGTAAAGATACTGTGTGTTGTCTCTCTGTACTCTGAAATCTATGAGAACGGTGTCTTCTGGAATTAGATATCAGCTACTTAGTAGGCATCTGTCAAGTGAACCATTGTTTATCTATTGTACTCACTGTGGACGGATTCCCCACCAGTCCCCTTCAATTCTGTCAGTAAAATTGGAGTCCAGTTGTGTTTTTTAACAAACTTCTTAAAATAAAAATTGTGATTTCTTGTCATATTGGGAATGTCAGAAGAAATTTCTTTAAGAACAACCACAAACCTGTAAAACCTCTGAGTTATTTTTTTGAAATGTCGTACCTCAGAGAATCTGTTGATTTTTTTAATACACTTTCATTAAAGAAATCAGCTGGATGAATAATAATATTTCAGAGGCTTTCATTTTTTAGTTAAAGTTATAATTCCAGAAATGTCACCGGAGTAGAATTATTCTTTAGAACTTAGCTTACACAATTAATTTATATATGTTTGTTTGATTGATTGATTTAGGCTTCACAGAATATAACACATTATTTAATATTATGTCTTTGTTTCTTCTTTGTAAAATCCCTTTCCAAAAAGACCAGTGAAAACAGTTTTAATACCGTGACGCACTCTGAAGTCACTTGTGTTAAATAGGACACTTTATAGGGAACAGTATCAGTATCTTATCTTAACTCTGTTACCGCACTGATTCTGTTCTGATCAGAGTGTTAGGGAACTGAGAAACCCTGAAAGACTTACATACAAGGTAGATGTTACTTTTTTAGTTCTGGTCAACCAGTAAAATGAGATTTGAAACATTTCAATAGAATACTGTTTACCAAAGTCAGGTATAAAAGTTCTTCATCTGTGAACTGAATTAAATTAGATTATATGATTATAATGTCTGTATGGTTACTCTTTCTAGAAAATATATAGCTACTGTTGCTGGAATTTAGAATACCTGGGGTTTAAAATTTTAGTTATGCTTCCTAAACTAGTAGAGGAGCTGCCTGTAAGTTGAAGTGAAGTCCCTCTGGCTATCTGGGGCCACTGAACAAAGGGGAGAAAAGGAAACCTGGTCAAACCTGGTCCATGGTACGTTGAGGGAAGATCAGGGAGAATTATGCAATAAACTGGTTTGATTATCTCCTGTGTAAAGCACTGTGTTCAGGAAAGGTCGTGAAGAATATATGAGATTAGAATGCACAGGCCCAGAGAGACACAGCAGGTGTAAGCGTGGAGTGTTCTTTTCCTCAGATTACCTCTGAGGATGCTCCAAGTAGTTTTGAGTGTTTCAGCTGTAGGCACAAATGCAGTGCTCATTTTTAAGTGCTTGTTACAAATAAGATTCAGGAAACAGAGATTCTGTACTTCTCAAATTCACTGAAATCTCTGTTGGTTGATTTCTAGTTCCTTATCTTAGGGCTGGGGAGAGAGACCCTTTTCTCCACACTGGGGTATCAGATCTGTAAAAGCAGGAGCCTTGGTTAACCTGTCCTGATTGCTGTGCTGTTCCAAGTCCCGAGAACAGTCGGTGCCCAGCATGTTGTAGCTTCTCAGTAAAAAACTTTTGAATTAATTGAATTTTAAAAATATAAGGTTCTATAAATAGTACTTTTACATCTGATAGGCGGCTGTCAACCTGGTGCCTAGGCCTTTGGTATAGGAACTTTTTTTAAAGAAAGATTAGTGAGTGCGTAGAGAGAACATCAACATTGGGATATGTTACAGCTTTAATTGAAACAGGAACTGTCGGAACAGGAACCATCAGAATAGGAACCATAGGAAGAGAAATAGATTTATGAGGTAGTAGGATAAATACAGTTTTGCGAATATATAGCTTGAGATGTCAGACTTGGTGCAGAGAACTGAAGATAGGGGTGAGTGGTTGGTCTCAGGGAGTCCTTCGCATAGAGGTGATAGTTGAGGTCATCTTTTTTCTAGACAAAACTGGTAGTAATAATGACGGCCACCATTTCCTGCTCTATGCCAGGCACTATGCTGTATTTATTTATTTTATTTCATTCTCATATCAACCTTGTTACATAGATACTGCTGTTTCCTGTTTCACAGTTGAGAATACTGAGGTTAGCAAGGTGAGGATCACGTAGCCGGCAAGTGGTAGAGTGAGGTTTTGAGTGTGGCCCCATCTTACTCCAGAGTTGTCAGCGGGGCTGAGTGATGAGGGTGCATAGGGAAGTGAGAGCTGAGCAAGGGCCCTTGAATGCGCTGTTCCAAGGGAGGGGAGAGAACAGACAGCAAGGAGTTAAGGAATAAATGAATGGAAAATTTTATAAAGAAGGAAGTGGTAGGTGGCACCTGTGGCTCAAGAGAGTGAGGCGCCAGCCCCATATGCTGGAGGTGGTGGGTTCAAACCCAGCCCTGGCCAAAAACTGGAAAAAATAAAATAAGATGGAAGTGGTGAGTTACTTTTTTTCCCAAAGAAGTTTAGAGTTGAGGGGAAAGGAAGAAAAAGGACAGTAAGGTGAATTTTCAGGGACAAGAGAATTTGGGAATTTCATTATGATTTTTCTCTTGTTTTGGGGTTTGATTCATGCATGCATTCATCTGTTTCAGCACATTTATTGCTTGCCTGCTCTGTGCCAGGGATAGTGGGGAATAGGACAAGGTTGTTATTGTCGTGGAGCTCAATGTTAATGAAGGTAGAGGTGGGTATCAAGAAAAACAAGATGAGTATCAACACTGATAGATACCATGTGAAGAATTAAAAGTTTATGTTGCATGATAGATGAGGCCTTTTTAAAGATGTTATTTGAGAATATGAAAGATAAGAAGACAGCCAATAATATGTAGAAAGAGAATTCTAGACAGTGACAGTAGAGAATGTCTTTAAAGTTGGAAAGAAACTTGTCATCTTGGATGGAGGCTAGTGAACTGTGGGGAAAGTTGCATGAAATCAGAGGTAGGGGCCAGTGTCGTGGCTCATGCCTCACTTTGGGAGGCCAGAGTGGGAGGCTCACTTGACAACATAGTTGGATCCCATCTCTACAAAAAACAGAAAAATTAGCTGGACATAGTTGTGTGCGCCTATACTTCCTTACTTGGGAGACTGAGGCAGGAAGATCACTTGAGCCCAGAAGTTGGAGGCTGCAGTGAGCAACTGCGGTCCAGCATGGGAGACAGAAAGAAACTGTCTATAAAAAAAAATAAAGAAAGAAATCAGAGGTAGGTGGGCATCATTATATCATGTGGGACTTTGGCAGTTGGAATAAGGAATATAGATTTTTTTTTTATTCTAAGTGAAATGGGAAGCCAGCAGTTGGAGAGTTTTGAGCAGGAAGTTAGGCATGATCTGATTTATCTTACAAGAATACCCTGATTATTCCTAAATGTGCTGGTGGATAGTACATTTTGTGGGAGGGGAGGACAAGTGAAAGCAGACAAGCAGTTAATAGGATTTTGCTCTTAAGAGATCCTGGTGGCTTGGACTGGAGTCCTAGTAGCAGTAGAGATGGTGAGAATTGATTCAGTAGGGGTATATTGGGGGGAGGATTTAACACAGGGGTCCTCAAACTTTTTAAACAGGGGGCCAGTTCACTGTCCCTCAGACCTTTGGAGGGCGGGACTGTGGGCCCCAGGACAAGTCGGCTGCTAAGCAGGACAGGCAGCGGCGGCAAAAATACCCGGTGGGCCAGATAAATGTCCTAGGCAGGCTCCATGTGGCCCGTGGGCCGTAGTTTGAGGACACCTGATTTAATAGGACATGTAGATGAGTTAGATTTGGGGTTTAAGTGGAAGAGGAATCACAGTGACTCCTCTTGTGTTTGAACAACTGGATGAAAGAATGATGTTGCTATCTATTGAAATGGAAAATTTTAGATGGGGCCTTGAGCATGATTAGAAATTGAAGTGAAGGATCCATTGGAAGGAGCAGTATTGACATTTTTAAAGAATGTAAGTTATGATGTAGAAAAGTGCCAAAGGACATGGGTACACAAGAGGAAACTTAGAGACCTGGGTAGGTGTAAGCCTTAAAAACCAGAGGCAAAGAGACATAAGACCAAAACTTCAAGATGGAAAAGAAATAAGTTGAAAAGCTTGCATTAGATGACCTTGATCTTTAATAATTGCTAGAATTATTACTGTATTCAGTTATGAAAAGCTACCTATTATGTATTCCTCATATTAACTTTCTAATTTCATTAGTTAACCTTAATTAGTTTACTGTTATATAACCTATTACTTAGTGTGTATGTATATTTGTGTGTGTGTTTGTATATATCTATATCTCTCTCTCTATATATATATTTTTAAACAGGTTGTAAGTTCTACAAATGGAGAGTTAAACACAGACGACCCTACTGCAGGACGTTCAAATGCGCCCATCACAGCCCCTACCGAAGTAGAAGTGATGGATGAAACCAAGTATGTATTTGTGTTTTGCCTGTTTTAATCACTTTTTGTTCTTAAACTATGTATGTTTGAGATTTATAGTCATGTACGGTTATTTCAGGAATTTTTTTCAGGGAATAGATGCATGCAAAACAAGTTGTATGCTTAATTATTTTAATTACTACATTTAAAATTGTACTATTCCAGTACGTATTTTGAAATAACAAAGATAGCTATTTAAGAACTGTGATCAAATTCTTATTTAGAATTAATGGCATATTTTTAGCTTTTGATTTTTAGCAATGTCGATGCATGTAAATAATTGTTGTACTATTGATACATTTTTTCCTTAATCATAAGAATAATTATTAATTTAATAAAATGATGCATGCATAATATTTAAAAAGTTTTTAAATACATTATAATAACATAGGAAAAATTTAAGCATGAAAAACAATGTGATAATTTGAATTTGGGCTACTTCTGATGATTTTTTCTTTCTCTTTTTTTCCTTGTATTTTGTTTTGTTTTGTTTTGTTTTTGTTCTTTTTTTGTGTGTGTGTGTATAGCTGCCAGAAAGTGTTGAACATGTGGTGAGTTCTCAAGTGTAGGCAGGCAGAAATAGCTCCGTTGACTACAATTTAAAAGATTTAGCACCATTTTGTGTTTTTTTGAAAACAAACCTCCTAACATAGAAATCATAATTCGTGGAAGTTATTCCAAAGTCTTTCATATCGTTAATATTATCCCTGAATGAGGAAGAAACAAGTATTTCAGGAGCTCTTTTGCCTGCTGCCGCTTTCTGCTTCCAGTTCCATAGATTTGGGGCCACTTTTAATCGCCACCTCTGCTTGTGCTTGTGCATTCATTTCGTAACGTAGTTTTTATTTGCTGTTTTAAAGAGAAAGGTAGGTTTTTGAATTAAGTTTTGTTTTTTCCTGTTTGTAATTATTAAATACTCGTACATTCAGCAGATCCTCTCCCCATCTGGAATAGTATCACTAAAACAGTATTTTGTTGACTAACCCAATTATCCTGGCCCTTGAATACAAGATTGATGAGTTCCATGATAAACTTACAGTGAGAAAGTAATTTAAAAAATCCTCATCTAAGTAGTGTCTGATAATTGCAGATATTATGAAAAATAATGTTCTTATTAGCAGAAATTTTAAAACAATTCTAACATTCGCCTTTTGTTTAAAATGCTTCTCTCCATTTCAAGACAAAGTTTGAGTCAGCCTGGGTGTGAATAAAGAAGTTGCTCAGATTGTAAATTTTGAAGCATTTGACTTATATCCAAAAGGAACCTTATAAGTTAATACTCATAATCTGGCTGCACAATTTGGAAATTTTTATGGATCTTTCTTTCTAAAGAATAATGATCAAAGATTCATTTATAATTAGTTTTTTTTTTTTTTTTTTTGAGACAAAGCCTTACTTTATCACCCTTGGTAGAGTGCCATGGCATCACAGCTCACAGCAAACTCAAACACTTGGGCTTGAGTGATTCTCTTGACTCAGCCTCCCAAGGCTGGGACTACAGGCTCCTGCCACAGCACCTGGCTATTTTTTGTTGCAGTTGTCATTGTTGTTTACCAGGCCCAGGCTGGGCTCGAACCCACCAGCCTTGATATATATGGCTGGCACCATAACCACTGAGCTACGGGCACCAAGCCCATTTTAATCCATTTTGATTATAGAATTTATTGAAAATATGACTAAGCTTAGTGTATTTTAGGATATTATTAGTTATATACTTGTGTGTTTTTAAGTCAAAAATAAAAATATATTAGCAAATGGCATATATTTGTTTGTGAATTGTAGGTACATTCTGAAGCACAGTATGAGCGCAGTGGCCGTGTGCAGCTCAGCGTGCATGCATCCTGTGTGGCCACACATAGGTTGTAGAATCCCATTCCTGCCACTGATTTGTTACCTTCAAGAGGGCTTGTTCCTTTTTCTGTAAACTGAGACTAATAATATATACCTCATAGGTGATAAAGCTGTGGTATTTCGTGTGACACATGGCAGCATGCAGCCACTGTTACCACCCCTTTTATTCTCCTCTTCCAGCTGCCAATGACCTTCCTCATCTTGTTCTTCTCAGGCCTGTGCTACCCCTAGCCAGTATCCCCTGTGTTCACTCCATACCCACACTCTTCATTGACTCTGGCTGTGTTCACTCCATACACACACTCTTCATTGACTCTGCTATGTTCACTCCATACCCACACTCTTCATTGACTGCTGTGTGCACTGCATACCCACCCTCTTCATTGACTCTGCTGTGTTCAGTCCATACCCAACCTCTTCATTGACTCTGCTGTGTTCACTCCATACACACACTCTTCACTGACTTTGGCTGTGTTCACTCCATACCCACCCTCTTCATTGACTCCGGCTATGTTCACTCTGTACCCACATTCTTCATTGACTCTGCTGTGTTCACTCCATAC